TTCTGAAAATTAAGGGAATAGAACAGATGTGGACATTTTTTATGACAATGACTGGATAAGGTTGTACTCAATTTTTCAATTTTTCTTTCCTCAAATATACCTACTTCCTTCATTTTGACAGATTAAAAAAACAAGTCTATTTCATTTTATGTTCTTTTATATGTTCTTATGTTTTCATTACTCATAAGTATATATTATATAGAACATATCAATGAATGTTTTTATGAAATATGTCTATAGCAAACGAAAATGAGTAGAATCAAACTTGATTCAAACCACTGATTTAAAATAATATGCAATAAGTGAATTCTTTTCAGAAGAAATAAAAACATTTAAATTTCCTGTAACTGTCTGAAACCTATAGCAATCACCAGTTTCTACTAACATATGGTTTTGGGGATTGGTTATGTTTAAAGAAACCACTTAGCAAATTGCATACCTAGTGGGTGACCAGAAATCTAGTTCCTGGGTTTTCTAAAGTGTTTTTTCCATTGTCAACTTGAGTAGGATTTCTTTTGCAACAAGGACACATGTCCCAAATGTGTGTGGACTCCTCTGGCCCTGGATGAGGACATTAAATGGCCCCCAGAAAGCTCTGGTGCCTCTCTGCAAACTCCATATAAGGAAATTTTGTCAGTCACCTCTGGTAGTTTCAATCCCTTCTTGGTGGATCATGCAGTGATTTTTTAAAAAATTCTTCTTAGATTATGGGAAACAAAACTCCATGAAGTCTTTAGACAAGGCAAGTCCCATTCCATTGGTATGCACCCAGCTATGTTACCACAGAGGCAAGCAGGAATGGATAGGAAGAACATTGCTATGGAAACAGCCATTTAGAGAGGCAAACTTGCATATAAGTTCTACTTCTTAGTTATCTGAGTTGTGACATATGAATTTAATTGTTCAAGCCTCAGTTTCCCTGTCTGTGAATGGGAACAAGCACTTCCAATTTCAATGGACTGATGTGCAGATTGAATGACATAATGGAAGTAAAATAATGCCTACTACAGTGCCTGGCACATATAGCTTGTAGAAGCTCCCTAGTTTCTATACTCTTATTTATGAGAAGAGGGGTGCCAACTTGATAGTCAGACAATTTTTAGGATTTTCTAGCCCAGCCTGTTTAATCCCTTTCATTCTTACAGGCAGGGGGAAAGTGATGGCAACTTGGTATTGCCTTCAAGGTCTTAATCCTCACTCAGGTTTTACCACAAATAATTCTGCCTTAGTGAAGTCATACTACAAATATCTTGGGCCACAGGGATATTTTTCTGATTGCAAATTTTCTTATGGGTTAGGAGAATTTGCTTGCTTTTTAACTTCTAGTTTCTCTGTTTTTAGAACATACTTCTGCACTGTGTGGCTCTGTCCTCTGGAGTCTCAGAGGTCTACAAACTCTAGGTGTGAGGTACCTGGAATTCCCACATTAGGCTTGGGAAATGAGCCAGCTGGTGATGCTGTGAGCACCTTCTTAATATCTTTACATCAACAGAAATTCTTTAGAAATACCTTCTGAATGCAAGTGTCCAGTGACATGGTCTTTAGCAGGCAGATGAACTGGATGAATGGGCAACTCAGAGGATCTTTCATCGTGACCAAATCTAGAATTACTAGAGTTTCTAAAACCAAGGAATGCCATTTCTGAATGGCTGGGCATGTGAATGCAAGAGAGAGAGACAGGAAGAATCAGAAAAGAAAGAGACTTAGGCCTTCAGATCCTTTGTAGGGAGAAAGATATCCAAAAATTCCTGATCAAAAGGTCTGTTGCCAAGGGCTATGGTTTTCAGGCTGAAGCCACTAGAGTGAATTTTGATGCATGTATTGAAAAAAATCTCAGGATTATGGTCTGTAGTTTCCAAGAAAACACAAGGATGCTTACCTGTCAGGTGTGCCCTTGGCTTGTCCCTGTCAGCTCTGAAAGGTGCATCTATAACAAAAGGAGAAATGTGCTTTGTGTGAGTCAAAGGGTAATAGGAGTGAAGACAGCATTTTGGGAGTTGCGTGACACCTGTAATAAAAGACAAGCTGGATCTCCTCCAATGTGATTCAGTCTCATTCTTTTTGGGTTTTGGATGGGCATGTGGTGCCTATACTAAGCATCACTGAGGACAGGAGACCCAGGAGAAAGAGTCTTGAGTACAAATGAATCTTGGCCCCATGCCTTTGGGCAAGTTACAGCCTGACTCTCTTTTCTCATCTCTAAGATGGGCACAGCAATCCCTACCTTGTCTAGAGAGTGCTCAGAGTGACTCTTACCACATGGCCAGAGCTCCATGAAGCACAATTTGATGCCCCTTCCCTCAAAGGGCTCTCATGAGAGCTGGGCGAGCTTTTGACTTCTTCGTGGTCTCTTCTACTATATCCACTGAGTATATGGATGGCCCAGAGGAAATGAGATGGGGGCAAGTGGGATCTACTCTGTAGCTATGTGGATTTGGTAGGTCCTTTTCCCTCTATGGGCCTTTGTTTCTCTCTTAGTTCATGAGAAGACCATAGAATTTCCCTTTAGCTCTATGATTGTATTGAATCGAATGTGTTCTAACTGCTCTGATAAATAGACATTATTGATGTCCACTGAGTACTTCTGATGTGCTAAGAATTATTCTCATCCCTTTATAAGAATCGACTAATTTAATTCACACTAACCTTCTCAGGAAGGTCCTAGTACAACCATTTTTAGGGGTGAATGGATGGATACACAAACAGGTGAAATTATTTGTCTGAAGATCACACTTCTAGCAAATTCCAGAGCTGGGTTTGGGTTTAGGCCCTCAGCTCCACTTGGCCACTGTGCCATTTTACCTTCTTAGTAATGAGGGAGGAGCCTTACTGCTCCTCCAGATTTGCATCCCTAGGCTTAGAAACTTGGTAATTAAAGGACCCATCTCTGAAACTTCTACATAGCACAACTATCATCAATGTTCTTGTTCCCCACAAGAAAAGGTATGAGATATGAACACACTTACAAGACAGCTCGTGTGAAGATCCAGACTCTTGTCCATTTGGAATCTGTTGAGAAAGAAAGATATGGTTCAGATCACCTGCCATCCTTCTAACCTCAACATCCATACAGCTCCCCACAGAATGTGGCTATGATGAAGATTCTGCTGCTACCTAGCCTGTGTCCCATGCCAAGGGAAGTGTGACATGAAAGTGTTTTGGTTGGTAGGAATCTTGCACCTCAGCTTTCTACTTCCTTCTTCCAGTATTCCCAATGGCCTTTCTCTCTTTTGTGCTTGCTTCTGAATCTCAGCTTTTAGCTCTTTCCTGAGAGCTTTTCCTGTTCTATTCCAGGAAACCTTGACATCTTATCACTGCTTCTGTTAGGTGAATAAATAATGACACTTGCTTTATTTTATTTTCTCTAACTATGATTTGATAATTGGAATTTTCATAAAAAATGATACAGAAAAGGAACAATGTCTATGTTTTCCTTCCTATCATCCTCACCAGTGTTTCCTTATTTCCACCCAACACATGAAGACTTTTTTATTACTGCAAATTCCGGTTTGTGAGTCATTTCTGATTCCACATGATAGTGGAGGCAGACAGACCTGAATTTGAATAGAATTTCCATCATTTATTAATGATATGGTCTCGGGAAAGTCACTTTTACTCGCTGAGTATTAATTTTCTCATTTGTAAAGTGGGGATAATAACATCCCTAACCTTAAATGACTTGAAAAGTTGAGGTGAGGATCAAATCAGAAAAGTGCTAGGAAGAAACAGAAAATGAACGAATCACACTCACATGTCTGAACGAAGTTTAGGACCTTTTATGCTCTTAGTCTTTTTTTTTTGTTTGTTTTTGGTGATACTGGGGTTTTAACTCAGGGCCTCATACTTGCTAGGCTGGCACTCTATAGCCTACCATCTTAAATTCTATACTATCTTTCAAAGAACTTCTCTAATCTAATTTTGACTCAAACTAGTCTTCTGGCTTGGTTCTTAAAACTATAAAAACTATCTAGCCCCCACTAGCAGATGATCCTCTTGCCGTGGGAATGTCAACTGCTGAATGTGTGTCTGTGTGGTGTGCGTGATGTCTCTCCTATGATCATGTGGCTGTAACTGTGTCATTGTTGAGTCTAGGTCTGGGAGCAGCTCCACAATAACAGTGACCTTGTGGAGCCCGTACCTCTAATCTCTTCTTACTCTCAAGTGGCCCAACGTTGGGAGCCAACAGGTGTATAGAATAAACTGCGTGTTTGAGTTTGGCACAGCCCCAAACCGCAGAAGAGAGCAAGTATGGTTATACCCGTAATTGCACGCTTGATTAGCACAATCTCAGCTGCGGAAGTGGGCAAGATGCAGTACAGCTGTTTTTCCTAAGAAGTGTATGTTCGGAGAGAAGCTGTCACAGGTTTCTCCTGTACCCAAGGATTACAATGCCATGCTCCCTCCCCTAAGAAATGCCTCTCTGCCTCGTGTTGCTACTGTATATAATAAACTCACTAGAGGTGGAGGGGGCTGGTGTGTCTCCATCTGAGCACCCAGTCTATCTGGCCCCAGCTTTGTGCATGTATGGTCTTCTGTCTGCTGTCTTTTCTGCATCTCCCATCTTCCCCAGTTAGGTTTCTAGGACAAGCTCTTGCGGGATGCAAGAGCCTACCTGCTCTCTGCTGGAAGCCCTCTTGAGGGCAGAAATCTTGTCTTTGAATGAGTAACCCATTTTATTGGCCTTCCAGTCCCTTTCTACCTGCTTTCTGATTCTGTTAATGGCACTACTACTACTTCCCCTTGGCTCCCAGGCCTTCTTTCTTCTGATACAAATTCATAGTGTGTCGTTTATATTCTTCACTCCTCTCATTTGTGCCTCCACTCCAGGCCTTAGCAAGCTGCTCTCCTGGATCTTCCAACAGCCTCCGCCTGGGCCTTCACGCCTCTGGTTTCTCCTTTTCTCTATTTCCTAGCCTGCCTTCAGATGGTTTTTCTAAAGCATCACTTCATCAAGACTCCGCTCTGCTTGTAAACTTTCAATGGCTCCCCATGGCCTTTAAGACATAGTCCTGTCTTATCTTGGCATTCAACATTGCAATCTACCATCCCAGTCTTGTTACCCTTCATTTACTCCTCTAAGTCCTCTGTGGTTCCAGCCATAAGAGGCAGCCACAGGGCATGATTCAAGGGATATAAAAATGCAGTAACTATTTTGTACTATTTTTCTGAGCTGTGCTAATCCCTTCACTGGCATCATCTCCTTTAGTTTCACAACAATACTAGTCACATCCTTATATTGACAACGGAACTCAGGAGAAATAAGTCACCAAATGTGCTATACCTGGCAGGTAGAGTAGGATTTTAACTCAGGCCAGGTGATTACAGAATCCCAAGCCCTAAACCACTGCTGCCTACAGCTTGGGACAAGCTCCTGACCCAGGGAAGTGAAAAATGGGTATCAGCAGTTCCACATATGGGGACACGGGACAAGCCCAAAGATCAGAAAACAGAGGCCAGGTCCAGAAGCGGGAGAATCCAGGGAAATTACCTTGAGCTGAATCTTATATGTCTTATAGATATTAGCCAGGTGATAAAAGAGGTAATGACTATTCCAGACAAGGCCAAAAACTTGTGCAAGTGTAGGAAGGCCCAGCAGAACACGGGAACAACTGAAAACTGTAAGACTCATTGCTATTGAATGAAGACATTATGTTCACTTCATGAGTAAAATGATTCTACCTTGAAAAGCTTAAACCCAATTGCTATGACCACTTGCCGATGTCAATGACCTTGATGGGACTTGGGGTGGAGAAGCAGCCCAGAAATGGGCTTAGCCAGTCGCTGCTGACAGAGTTGATAAAGGACTCAGTCCTTTTACAAGGCAGAAAACTGAAAGCAGGGTTCCCAAAGAGAATTAGGGAGATCATGATCGCATTCCTTTATGCGAGAAAGCCTACCTGACTTGGTTGACCTGCTTTTGTCTCATTTAGTGCCCTCCGAGAAAGCTTCTTAAATATCCTGCTTATTTTGGGCTAAAGAGACACTTGGCAAAGTGTTTGGAGCATTCTTTTTTGACTGAGAATCCTCTGGTCATTAGCATGTATTTCAGATACAAACACAATTTTCCTGGTTGCTCAGTTGGGTTTCTATTACTTGGGTACACGTTTTATTTTCTCATGTAGATGGATATGTATAGATTTTAGTAGCCCAGTATGCCACCAGGCAGTGTCAGTGCCTGAGAGCATTGTTGAAGATCACAACATTCTAAGTGTCCCTTAGAAGAAAATCATTTGGGACTTTCTCTCTGGGAACATCTAGCTTTCCTTTGCTGTTTCTCTTCACAATGACTCTATCACAGGAGGAAGCTTACTGTGGCAGGAAGCAGGAATGAATGAGATTTGAGAGGATGAAATAGAAGCTTGTTTGGAGAAGAGTTTAGACACTTAAACTTTTCTAAGGTCTGCTCTCCTATGGTTTCTGGCAACACCAGGCCAATAAAATATCTTACTGTTCTCCAATCCTGGCTCTTCTCCAGTACTTCTGGGTGACTCTCAGGCACCAAGGAGGTGGTGGCTCCTGAGGGATGTCAGTCAGTATGACATTAGCCTCTAAACCTGAGGCTTTTGCATATCTTCTCAAACCACTGACTGAGAACCAGAATCCATTTTTGCTCCCTATTTGTGTATTTATAGCTTTTCTCTATCTAGTAGAGGGCTTGTCTACCTGTCTTGCTCACCCCTGTACTCCCAGTGCTGATGACAGTGCCTGGCATTTCTACTGGTTTATCCAGTCTGCAAAATGTACAGAATCCTAGACACCCAGCAGACAGCGGCAGAAAAGACAGCAGGAGATTGGGTTAAGTCCAGATTCAATAACTTTAATCAGAGTTTTAGTTTTGTAATTGAAAAATCTAGGACAGAGGTATTTTCGTTTATATAGAACATTCTAACTATGTAGTTATAGATAGCCATGATCTTTAGCACTAGGGCCTCTCAAGGTCCTCATAGGCTCTGTGTAGAACATAGCTGTGGCTCAGGAATAGTTACTGAAGGTTGCAAGGCTTGGCCAGCAGCCAGAATCAGAGAGGAAAATGTCATGCCATAGGCACATATCTCAGCAGGCCAGTTGGACACCTGAGACCACCAGTGAATATTAACCCTAGACACAAACCAGTGCTTCCCCCATCCATCCATCTTAGTTCTGTAGGTCAGAACTCCCCCTCTTCCCTCTCTCCTTCCCTCCCTTCCTTCCTTTTCCCCTTTTTCTATGTTAACTAGTAATACCTGACTCAAACTGATTATGACCTATTACCATAGGCATTTCTGGAATTGCTCTAATTCTTTAAGCTAGGCAGAAGAAAGGATGGAGGGAAGGGGAAGACTGCTATTTAGCTGAGCGCTTCCAGGGTGCTAGGCTCTGTGATGGGCATTGGTGTGTGATCCTCATCTGATACCCCAGAGACTTCAAAGGACAGCCAGCATCATTTTCCACCATCTATGTGAGTCTTATAATGGGAACATAGAGAAACTGCTCAAGGTCAAAGGTAAATAGAGGGGCTGGGATCTGAACCTTTGGCCCAAGTACAGCTCCTGGCTGTATCAGGAGCTCCATAAACATTGACAGGGAACACAACAGATGAACAAGCTTGAAGTGAGATGGTCTTTGAGGTTTCCTAGCATTTCCCCAGAAAAATCCCATGAGTGTATTTGAAGTAATGATCCCTTTAGCCTCTCCTCTATGTTCTGTAGCCACTCCCTCTGCCCATTCATAATCAGGAAGACATATTCATTTCTTGCTGTCATAAATGCTGCAATTGCAAAGGCATAAATGTTTTATAACCCACAACATCCCCTGGCACTTCTAAGAGAAATATGTGGACATTTATCTCTTCCTTTTGCTTCTCCCTGTGTAATTTCACAAGGATAAATTTAACCTGGGACTGTCTTATTTTGAGGTCATTTGTTTTGTCATCCTCCCAGGTGCCCTGACTGGGCTTTCCATGCTACACTCAGTCTCGAACGGAGAAGAGATTCTGGTGTTTACATCTGGGCAAACATGGAAATCCCAGC